ACTCTAGGGTGTAATCTGTCAGAACCAGCTGACTTGAAAGTGTCCAGCCTCTCAAGGTGCTCTTTTACAAGGTCTACACCGATGCTGGGTATAAATACACCCTCACCCTGGCTGTCCCACATCATGCTAGGCAGGGCAGTCCCTTTGGGCTGACGAAAGACCGATGCGAAGTACCCATTAAGCAGGTTGGCTTTTTCCTGGGTGTCGGTTATCAGCTGTCCCATTTGGTTCAGCAGGGGTCCATTGTTACCCTTGCTTTTTTTCCAACTTTCTACATATCTAAAGAAGGACTTTTTACTATCCTTGATATATGTGAAGCCAGATGGAGTTCAGTTGCAGCCTTGACTTTCCTGGTCCACTCCCTGCAGTCATGGACCAATGTTGAGTAATCCTCCCTAGTGGTAATTCCATCCTTCCATCCTTTATAAGTCTCTCTTTTTAGGCATAGGGGGTCCTCGAGTTCCCTGCTGAGCCAAGGGAGTTACTGTCCTTCCTCTGAGATGGGATGAACATCCCTTGTGCTGTCAAGATCACTCCCTTGAGGAGCAACCACTCCTCTTGGACTCCTCTTCCTGTTGAGTCATGGTCCCTTAGCGCCTCAGCAATGAGCCTCTTGAGCTTGTCAAAGTCAGCTGTCCTGAAGTCGAGGACTTCTGCATTGCTGACTGACTTGCCAGCTTTGTGATGGATAGCAACGGTGATCAGCTTGTGGTCATTATCACCCAGACTTCCACTGATTCTCAGGTCACTGACTAGATCATCCACTCTGGCCAGTACAAGGTCCAGTAACGCTTTATCTTCTTATTGGCCCATAGACTTCTTGAGTCAGGTAGAGCTCATCCATGCATGTGAGGAAGCTTTTTGACTGATTGTATTTGGCTGAGTGTTCTTCCCATGAGATGTCCAGGTAGTTAAAGTCTCCCATGACAACCATGTACTGAGAGTGTGCAGCCTCAGCCAGTTCCCTAGCGAATTCCTCGTCTAGCTCTTGCTTCTGGTTAGGAGGTCTGTAGTAGACTCCTACCATGAGGTCCCCTGTGCCACGTTCCCCATGTATTTTGACCCAGAGGGACTCCGGTCATCTTCCCTGGGTGCCAATGCCAATTTGGAGTGACGTGTAGCTGTCCTTGACTTAGAGAGCTACACCCCCACCCCTTTTATTTGCATGATCTCTCCTGTACAGGGTATAGCCATCTATACCTGTGGCCCAGTCATAGATGGAGTCCCGCCAGGTCTCCATTATCCCTATGAAATCATAGTCCTTCTTGTTTAGCAGGAGGACCAGTTCCTCCTGTTTGTTCTTCAAGCTCCTGGCATTGGTGTGCAGATATGTAAGTGTCCCATCGGAAGCCTTAGGCTTCCTTGCACTCCCAGGTGGACACCATTCCAGGGCTGGAGTAGGTGTGGATTCCCTTGGGTTGCCCTAACCTGATGGTTATGCAGTAGTTGTCTAGTGGGCTTGCACTGGTCGTTATCCACCCATCCCCTGGTGGGCTTAGTTTAAAGCCTGGTCAAGCAGGTCAGCCAGTCTAGCTGAGAAGAGCCTCCTCCCCAGTGGAGTGAGGTAGAGGCTGTCTCTCCCCAGCAGACTACTGCCTCTCACCAAAGAGCACACTGTGATCGTGGAAGCCAAGGCCTTCACAATGACACCAGCACCACAGTCTATGGTTGACTACCTTGATCCGTCCGTACCTCCTCAGTCCATGACCCACAACCAGGAGGAGTGAGGGAAAAAACACCTGCACCCCCAACTCCCTAAGCCCTGCTCCCAGAGCCCTGTAGTCTCTCACGACCCAGCTGGGATTGCTCTGAGACATGTCATTCATGGCCACATGGATAAGGAGAATAGTGTAGTGGTCAGAGGGCCGGATAAGCTTTGGGATCCTCTCCACTACATCCCAGATGCATGGGAGTTTATTGCTCCCAGGTGCCCCATTTGAATGTGCAACTGGAACCACAGCACGTTGAACCAGGTCAGAGCAGCCCTGGCTGGCAGAAGATCTGGGGGCTCAGCTTGCCAGTCCGGGGCTGCTCTGACCCGGCTCAATGTGCTGAGGAGGGGCTGCCTGGGGCACGAGGGTGATCCAGTGTGGCAGCCAGCTGGATCAGCATCTACACGTGCGTTGCTGTGCATGAAACAACTCCACAGCAGGATAGAACTTTACCAGTACTAACCTGCTGCAGAGTTTGTTAGTTTCCTGTGGCCTAAAAGGGCCACACATGTAGATGCTGAGACATTTACTGCAGAGCCAATTAGGCAACTCTGCGGTAAAGGTCTCATGTAACTGCACCCAGTCAGTAGAAATTGGGCGCAGCCTTTAGCTTAAGGATATCACTTTTACTGAGTTTTGCTCAGTATTTCATCAGCAGTACCTGAATATTACTGTATTATGTTTTGATGCACTGATCTCACCAGTCATTACTAGTCATCAGTTCTACGAATGAAAGCTATGTTCCACAAAGAGTAATTTGTTTATGGACTAAGAAAATGAACTGTAGCAAAGCAAAAAGCTCAGGACACCAAGAGGAGGAAAAAAGAATGCAATTAAAACAGCAGGTCAGACTTTTCTCATGTTTTTCAAAGTAAGAAAAGATACTGCTTTGATTACAGCACTGCATTTTCAGGATTTTTTTGTTTCATGTAAATACCCCCACAGGCCTGACCTTGCCACATGTGTTTGCTCTTGCTGTTACCAACTCACTACCAGCTTCAGTCTCCCTGGCTCTTGTACAGCTAAGAGTCAGCAGATATGCAGAAGTGAAATAGGGATCTATGAACTTTCCCCCTTTTAAAAAAGTGCTGGAGTGGTGGAATGTTGCAAGTCAGTGCGGTTTGGCATATCAGCTGCAAGAGATACCGTGACTAAGGCACAAAACAGTATAAAGATGGAAACGGAACTAAATGAAAAGTGCGATTTTAAAAAAGTAACTTTAAGTGATTGCCTAAACAAGACACTTTTGGCTCATCGTACTTAGTGCCTGTGTATTTTTAAATCATATGCAATCTGCTTTCTTTACTGACAAAATAATTGCTAGTGCAACTGGCTCAGTTTGGCTGACGAAGAGTTACTGCACTCTGTTCTATCTCAAATATCAATAGAACTATTTTCTAAGCTACAATTTTATTTTATTTTGATTTGTACAGCAAATAACGCCCAAAAGATGATAAAAAGGCATCTGCCCAAGCCTCTAGGATCCCCTGACAATACTGAAAGCTGCAGGTATTTAAACAGCTACAGTTCCATCACAGTTATGCTCCCATCTGTTTTACCCAAGCCTTTTAATCAACAAGAGCTACACACTGAAAGTGGAGATGGAAAACCATCCTCTTAGGGGAAAGGAGAGTTGTAGCTCATATGTTAGAACTTGTCTGGTTTTAGGCCTTATTTTCAGGAGGCTGCTGCTCAGCTGCTGCAGGGGTAGCACAAGATTGTGTTTCCTGTCTGAAACAGGAGAGTTGCTCACTAAGTGTCACAACTTCTCTCTGCGTATATAGGTTGGTTTATAACTAGACTATGAACGAGTTTAGCTCTGCCCAACCTGATTTACAGAACAGTTAGTTTGAATCCCATTCAGCAGCCTTATGTTAATAAACATCTTCCAGGCAAGTCTGTGATGCCGAGGTTTGGTACTCTTGTGTATTTCTAGTAACACTTTTTCCAAACTCCAAGTTCTCTCTCTTCTCCACCAAATGTAGGAACCCGTTATGTTGTCACATCCATACTGTTGCTTCACTGCTTTGCTTTTTAAACTAGTGAAACAGGCTAAACCTTTTTTGAATGTTTTTTCTTTTCTTCTCCTCTATCTCTGGAGGTCAATGTGGGGGTTATATGACATGACCATTCAGGTCCTCCTGTAAACCTGGCATTTCAGAATTGATGGGGTTCAGCAGATTCAAGTTCAAAGTAATGTCCTTTATCATTTTTGCTCTCAGCTGATTTGCTTTGTTTGTAAAGTTTGAGACATGATAGGAGTTACATGAAGATGTGGTATGTAGATAAAAGCAGTATTAAAGTGAAATGTAGTTTTCTTGCTCCTCTGAAGTGGGGGGGCTCCCCTGCCCCCTCTGCCTGTGGGCTTCTTAGGCACATGGCACTATTACTCTGACTAAACTGTACTTCGAAATAAATGGGGAACAAGAGGAGGGAGTCAGGCAGAGAGAAGGAAATGAAAAAGGCAGGAGAACCGTGGCTGTGGGCATGAATACCACATGCCCCTGGAGGCTGAGGGGGCACAACGAGCTCCCGCAAGTGGCAGTGGCACTGTCGGTGGCAGCAGCATAGCAGTGGCAAGCAGGGAGCTCCCACAGGCAGCTGTTGGCAGCAGGGAAGGTGGCGAGCACCAACCGGAGGTTGGCGACCACCCGCAGACGCCCCTGGCTGTGTCGGCAGTGGCCAGCGGTGATCACGAACTGCCTAAAGATGCCCTCGGTGGCGAGCGGTGACGGCCAAAAGCAATGTTGGCAGCGCGTTTTTGCAGAGGGTGCAGTGCACCCTTTACACCTCTGCAATGGCTGTGGGGGTGGGGTGGCATCCAGAGTCGCGCAGGATCTTTTCTTTTTCTTTTTCAAGGAAAATGCTTCGTGTGTCAAGCCAAACGAGCCCCATGCAGGCGAAGCAGCGCTTCCACCTCTAGCGGGCCCGGGGCACGCTCTTTTGAAGCCAGCTGTTCCCATCCCGCCGGCGCCTTGTGCCCGCGGCTGCGACTGGCTGAGGGACCCGCTCGCCCCCACCCCCGGCGGCCG